AATGCCAAGACAGGGCAAGCCACTGTGGCCTCTGGCATAACTGCTGGCTAGATGGGCTTGGATTGTGGTCCTGAGAGCAGCAAGAAGTATGCTGAGGCAGTCGCTCGGGCTAAGCAGATTCTGTGGAATGGCCCTGTGGGCATATTTGAATGGGAAGCTTTTGCCCAAGGAACCAAAGCCCTCATGGATGTGGTGGTGAAAGCCACTTCCAGGGGCTGCATCACCATCATAGGTGGTGGAGACACTGCCACTTGCTGTGCCAAATGGAACACAGAGGATAAAGTCAGCCATGTGAGCCCCGGGGGTGGTGCCAGTTTAGAGCTCCTGGAAGGTAAAATCCTTCCTGGGGTGGATTCTCTCAGCAGTGTTTAGTACTTTCCTGCCTTTTGGTTCCTGTGCACAGCCCCTAAGTCAACTTAGCACCTGTTGCATCTCTACTTGGCATTAGCTAAAATCTTCCCCCATGTCAAGATTCAGCTAGTGGCTAAGAGATGTAATGCCAGGAACCCCTAAAACAGTTACACGGCATCTCAGCTCTTCTTTACCGCACCAAGATACCATCTGAATTTCTTAGTGACTAAACCGTTGTGCATTCTAGATTGCATATATTTATATTTTGCCTGTTAAAAGAAAATGAGCTGTGTTAGCTTCCCTTTTTGAAGTAGCTTATTCTGATTAGCTTTGTTGTTGTTTCACTGCTCAGCATGGAAATAAGATGAAATTCTAACTGTGTGTAGGTAGGGAGACAAAGTGGTGATCTATTCAATAAATAATAAAAGTATCCATTGAAACTGGAAAAAAAAGACTTGTTTTGTCACCTAACATGTGACCCATCATTGAGAATGTTCCATGTGCACTTCAGAAGATTGTGTATTCTTCTGCTGTTGGGTGAAAAGTTCTGTATATGTCTATTGGGTCTATTTGGTCTCTAGTGTTGTTCAAGTCCCTTGTTTCTTTCAATCTTTCTGTCTGGGTGTTCTGACCATTATTGAATGTAGGGTGTTGAAGTCTCCTACTATTATTGTTTATTGTCAATGTATACTTTCAGATCTGTCAATATTTGTCTTACATATTTAGATGTTCTGATATTGGATGCATATATTTTTACAACTGTTACATGTCCCTGTTAAACTGACCCTTTCATCATTATATAATGACCTTCTTTGTCTCTAAATACAGTTTTTGACCTAAAATCTACTTTAGTAACCAGTTTCATACTTGAGTCTCTTGTGTTGCTGTTTAGTGTCCTTTCATTTCTACTTGAACCCTCCCCCCCTCTTTAAAAGCCAGAAGGAGCTCATTCCAGTAGAATCCCTTTAGAAGGAAACTGTGGCCTAGGATACAAAAGAATTCATTTCAATTTATTCATCAAAGAAAAAGTGAACTAATTCTGTAATGTTGAATGTATCAAAAAGAAAAAAAATCATTTTGAGGAGCTTAAATATGGTGCCCAGTATAAAGCAGTAGAGAAGCAGGTTGGAATCTGAAGGCAAATGGCCCTTTTGCCTGGATCAGCAGAGCACTAAACCACTACTACAATGGCTAACACCAAAACACCAGTGGTGGCTCTTTCATGTCCCCTACCTCTTCTCTGTACTCTAACGAGAGCGCTAAAGTTTGGGTGCTGGGAGCTCTCTTCAAGGACAGTGCGGTGATTACTAGAACCCTGTAGTAGTGAAGTGAGGTCCAGCATTCGGCCACACTCAAGTACCTTTGAGTAAGAAAGGAGCCAGTTCACTTCTTTTCAGCAGTACTTCCCTAGTGGGGAACAAGGGGAGAAATAGGTCTGGGATCTACACAGGAGGCAAAGTCTTCAAAATGGCATAAGGGCCATTGTGAGGCCTGGGGTGGTGTGATGGGTTGAATTGTGTCCTGCCAAAAAGAGACCTTGAAGTCCCTAACCCAGTACCTCAGAATACGACCTTATTTGGAAATAGGGTCTTTTACAGAGACAATCAAATTCAAGTGAGGTCACAAAGGTGTACCCTGATCCACCATGATTGCTATCCTGAAAAGAGGAAATCTGGATACAGAGAGAAGACCATGGGAAAACACACAGGGAGGAGATGGCCATGTGCCTGGAGTGATGTATCTACAAGCCAAAGAGCACCATGCAATGCTGGCAGAGGTAAGGAAGGACTCTCCCCTAGAGCTATCAGAGAGAACATGGCCTTGCCAACACCTTCACTTCAGACTTCTAGCCCCCAGAACTGTGAGGGAGTAAAGTTCTATTGCTTTAAGTCATCCAGTTTTTGGCATTTTGTTAGGGCAACCCCAGAAAACTAACACAGGTGGGGAAAGAAGACCTTTACTCCTGAAATGAGCCATAAGGCATACCACAGCTTCTGTGTCTCCCTACCCTGTGTTTGTTTGGCTCATCCATAGGCCGTAAAATTTTTGTACTGTGCACAGCTTTCAGGATGACCTCACTCACTCTGGGTCCCTGGGAGATCCTGTTCTTGGTCCTCTTCTTACCTGTTCATAGAGTCCTCACATTATATCCATCGCCCAGAATATCATGTTGACTGATATTATGTGCCCCATGCTCCCTTTGGTAAAATTCTATGTCCATACCTATCATTTTGTAAAGACAGGGGTTTCCTCGGGAAACGTTCTCCACCACTGCCAGCAAATGGAAATTTCTCCTTAGATCCTCCTGATGCGTGGCTGCTTAGGAAAGGAATTCTGGGCTAACAGGAGGGAGGAAGATGCTGCGAATGCAGATGTTGGGGGGAGGTTAATTCTACACAATAAAGCTTTTGGAGGAAACTTCATCTCAAAGGGTTGGAGACTGGAAAGCACACATAGAGAAAAAAGATCCTCTTCTGTACCTACTAACCATAAAGAATGGCAGGCACCAAACCCAGTTTAATATCTTCCTCCCCCATACCAGGTCTTCTGGGATTTCTACCCTGAAAAATGGTATTGGGTTCTCCTGAACAGCCAGTCTCAGACAGAGCTGGGCTAAGGCGAGGCACACGAGCTGCCAAGGGCGTGAAATTTGAGGAGGGCCAAGGTCAGCCTTGGTGTTGAAACCCCGCATCTAGTCCATCACCAACTCCGATCCCATCTCCCTCCACATCATCTCCTAGAGGCTCCTCTGGGCACAGTGGGTGCTTGGCACTCAAACTCCTTAGCATTCACGTTTCTTCCTAGTGGTCTCAACCCAGCCTTTCAGCTTCACCTGGCACCACATCTTCAGCCCAAGCACCTTACAACCCATTTCAACTTGTCACTCACCATTCTCAGTGAATGCCATGTATTTCTGTGACTTAGCATCTTAGGTGATGTTCTCTCTTTGTACTGGGATGAACCACCTTCTCCATCTGGAAAACCCAGCTGCAAAGTTCACCTCCTCTGAGAATCCTTCTCTGTTGCTCTAGTCTGGTAAGCCAGCTCGTATTTCCTGCTGCCTTTTATTTAGTTAGTTTATTTAGTTTTCACATAGCCAACTCCCATCTCCCGCCATACTGGCTGTTGGCACAATGTCCAGTTGCCCTTATGGTTGTCACACCACTTTGTACACAAGGGTACCTCCATAAGTGCTTATGGAGCCCAAGCGTAAAACTGGTCAAAGGCAGCGTTTTGTAAGTTACTGTTCCTTTTTTCTCCTACTACTTTTATTTTTCCCACTGCTACTATTTTCATCCACTTCTTCCTCATCATCTTTTGACTTTTGATCTTAACAGTGAAATAAAATACGCAATTGGATTTTTATGAAAAGCAGCAAGCAATCCTTAGAAGATTTGTCTTGATGATGGCAGGAACTGTCATCTCTCTTACTCACAGCCCTCTTCTCTGTGCTTGGCACCCAGTAGGTCCTCAAGAAATAGTTACCAAAAGAGTGGCTTCCTAGCAAATATAATTATTGCATATTATTATAAGAAGTCTATAGAAGGACTTCTATATATATATATATATATATATATATATATATATATATATATATATATATATATATAAAACTACTTAAGATATCTACATCAATCCCACACAGTACAACATGAAGAGTATTTTCCAGTTTTACTACTTTGTAGTGACTTCTATAAAGACCCCAAAGGAACCATATACTAAGTTGAAGTTGGACCATGCAGTCCTGAAGACAGGAATAAAGTGAGCTCTTGGTCTCAGTCTTCCCAGCCTGTCCTCAGAAGATTCTAGCTCTTAGAACTTTTGCATTTTCTGGTAAGACCACAAGAAGAGAGGGAGAAGGTTTTACATTTAGTAACATTTATTTATGCATTCAGTATCAAGTACATAAGTGCAAATATCCAGAGTCCATAATTAGGTCCATTAGGAACTACAGAGAAAGTAATACAAATCGTAATAAAGTTAACATGCTGGTACTTTTTTTTACCATACATGTAAATCAGCCTGTCAGTCCCACACAACAAAAGTACTGCATGTTTTTTTGGGGGGGAGGGCAGGGAGGAGGGGTTATTCATTTATTTAATTATTTTAAGTTATACAAAACTGATTACCAGAAGTACGGTCGACTGTTTTTTTTTTTTATGTTGTGTGTTGGAAAAACACTAAAACATCAGTCTACAATTCTATATATTGTTATTAAAGATTAATCCAACCAGCAACCCAAGGACATATAAGCGATTTCCACTACTGCATCAGTGCACTCGGCAGGAAGGGCCTAGCCACGGGGAACGTCAGAAGCTACAGAAGCATTGCAGAGAGAAGGATAACACCGAAGAAGACAAAATAAGCTGGGCTCTCACCATCATGCACTTTTTTTTTTTTTTTTTTTTTTTTAGCAACACAAAATTAAAACCACATCTAATACACTTTTCTCTATACTTTAGTGCTTGACACAAGTGACTCAAATATCCTAAGAGTACAGGAACAGCCTAAAAACAGCTGTTTTAAAGTTTGTCTCTAAGATTATGGTACTGGGGGGAGAAACAATCAATTTGCAGTAACATGTAAGAACAGAGTTGTTACCACTCCAGACATTCTGGTTTGTGTCCAGTCCCTGGTGGGATATCAGTTTACTCAGCATGCCTTTTAGCGCCTGGGATTTTAGCCTGAATCCTAAAAAGACAATATCAAAAAACAGTAAGTCACGAGTGTTATTAATAAAATCATTTTGTGACTTCATCATGTGCTGTTGCCGTAATTAGCTAGCTGACCAAATAGGCTAATATTCCAAAAGATACTGAAGTATGTGAGTGTCTGTGAACACATTTCTATGCAACAATAGAGATCTATTTCTGTGCATCTACCTGAGACCCAGAAATGACTGGGACAGGCTCTATCCATCTATTCCACATAGAGAAGGGAGTGGCACTGAGGTCTACTGCACCAGGTCTAGGACTTTCTCCACACTCCTCTTAACCAATCTCTAGGCAGTAATAGGATGATGGTGCTGAGGGCGATGATCGTGCTGATGTCTAATATTTATTGTGTCTTACGTCCAATCCAAGTAAAAGTACTTTATAGACATTATCTCATTTAATCCCCAACAACCATATGAGTTAAGTATTTAACATTACTGATGTGCAGATAAGGAAACCAGCTCAGAGAGTCAAATAACATTTATGATGAACTCATGTAGCTAAAAATACCAGAAATGGACTCAAAGTAGTCTGATTCCAAAGATCATGTTCTTCACTGTTTTACTAAAATGATGTCGGTTCTTCTGCTGGGAATCATTCTAACATGGGATCAGAATTTCAGAGGCGAAGGAGCCTTAGAGGTAAGACCCCACCAAGAAATTTCCTTCCAGATTTAGTGTCAGGTAAAACAGGTTCTCTTCAAAAACTGCTGTTCCTTCCTTTCTGATAGCAGGACCGATATAACTTACGTAGTTTCTCTTTTTGCTAGCTACCGAGAAGCTCAGATCCAAATCTGAATGAAGCTCAATTATAGAAACCACATTAGTCCTTACGGGTAATGTTTTCTTTCTGTTTCTTTTCACAGCCTTGATTTCCAATTTTAATGAACAATTACATTGCACATGTAGGTTCATACATCGTACATTCTTTGTCTTTTCTCCTTTCCACTTTAACAGGCCTAGACTCTTGTCACCTTTTGTGAATTACCATAGTCTCCTAGCTGACCTGATTACGTTTCCACTCCCCTGTTCAGTTCTCCTCTCACTAGATTGTCACAGTATGCACATCTGTGTGCACATACTGTGCATATCACCCCCGCATAAAAACATCAGGGGCTGTCCATTTCCTGTTGGGCCAGAGTCACCATTCCTTACAGCGTTCAATACTTGACCTCAGCCTCTCTTTCTAGAGTCTTGGCAGTTGATCTTTCCACTCATTTAAGCTTTAGACACACTGGTGGACTCATTATTTCCTACATGACCTACATTTTCATGCTTCTCCCTTTGCTTACATTATCTCTTCTTCCTGCGATGTCTTTCCCCTCATCACCCACATGATGAATGTTTACCCATCCTTCAAGGTTGCCATAGACTGAATATTTGTGTCCCCCACCCCACCCCCCTGCCCCTTGCTCAAATTCGTATGTTGAAATTAACCCGCATTGTGTTGGTATTAGGGGATGAGGCCTTTCAGAGGTGATTAGGTCATGAGGGTGGAACTTTCATGAGTAGGATTAGTGCCCTATAAAAGAAACCCCAGAGAGCTCCCTTCCACTTCCACCGTGTGAGGACAGAGCAAGAAGTCTGTAACCTGAAAGAAGGCCCTAATTAGAGCCTGACCGTGCTGGCACTCTGATCTTGGACCTCCAGCCTCCAGAATGGCGAGACATAAATTTCTGTTGTTTATAAGCCACCAAGTCTATGGTACTTAGTACAGTGGCCTGAACTAAGACAAAGGCCTTCATTTTAGTGAGGATTTAATGCCATTTCCATTATCCCTCCAGGTAGGAACAGTTATTTCCTTATCTCCCTGACCTTAACATTTTATACAACTCCATTGTAGTTCTTATATTGTCTTATACTGATTTATCTCTTTACAGTTTTATCTGCACTGAGAGGCTGGGAGCTCTACTAGAGTGGGGATCAGCTCATTCATCTTTTTACCCTCTGTGCCTGTTCCATGGAGTACCTGGGGCATAACAGGCATGTCTCTTTTTGGAGCCAACCAACCTATTGACCAAATAAAAAAATTAATAGATGTGATTTGTTCAAGATCCCCAAACTAAGTATTGGATAACTTAGGACTAGAATGTCTAGCTTCTGATTTCTAGGCTCCTATTCTGGTGTTCTCCTTCCTATTCCGGTGTTGCTACAGTTCCCCAAAACACAGCTCTAATTGCCAAAAAGTTACCTGGAGAGTTCATTAAAATATGGATTCCAGGTCCCCAATCCTAGAAATTCGAATTCTCTAGGTCTGTTTTAAGAATCTGGGAACTGGGGGCGCCTGGGTGGCTCAGTCGGTTAAGCGTCCGACTTCAGCTCAGGTCATGATCTCGCGGTCCGTGAGTTCAAGCCCCCGTCGGGCTCTGTGCTGACGGCTCAGAGCCTGGAGCCTGTTTCGGATTCTGTGTCTCCCTCTCTCTCTGACCCTCCCCCTCTCATGCTCTGTCTCTCTCTGTCTCAAAAATAAATAAACGTTAAAAAAAATTAAAAAAAAAAAAAGAATCTGGGAACTGGTGTCTTTGACAGTTTCCCAGGTTTTGGCAACCACCGACTTTTACACTATACCATGGTGCCATTCCTTAATACGAAATAATGAATACTTTATCCTCAGTTTGTTGATTTTCATGAGGTTTTAGTTGCATTTGGGTCCAAGGAGATAATTTCAGACATTTTGAAATGTGCCACAGATCTGATCTAGATCCAAATTCACCATGAATTTAGGAGGAAGAATTATGAGCAGTACACAATAAAACAAAACAAAAGAAAACAAGACAAAACGCTTCCTATAGTTTAGGAGAGAATCATAACTGATGATGTACAAATCAAATAGCAGAGGAACTTTAAAATGGTTGCTTTCTCTTATCTGTTGGTGTTGTTGATACATCATTGGCTGTCTAACATATTTCCCTCTAATTCTGACCACCACTGAGGTCTAGCCCCATGATCCTAAGATTAGGAGAGGGAGTTCAATCTCGACATAGTCTAGCCCTTTTGTGACATGTATTTCCAGTTGGAGCCTAGGTCAGCTTTTGATTAAAACAAAATCAGTAACAAAATGACAATATAAAAACTATCATTCCAGGTGGTTTAGACTGACGTAAATTTACAAACACTAAATTTTTTTTTTTTTAATTTTTTTTTTTCAACGTTTATTTATTTTTGGGACAGAGAGAGACAGAGCATGAACGGGCGAGAGGCAGAGAGAGAGGGAGACACAGAATCGGAAACAGGCTCCAGGCTCTGAGCCATCAGCCCAGAGCCCGACGCGGGGCTCGAACTCACGGACCGCGAGATCGTGACCTGGCTGAAGTCGGACGCTTAACCGACTGCGCCACCCAGGCGCCCCAGCAAACACTAAATTATTTAAAAATTATGAAGAACTAAGTTTAATGTCCATACTAGCTGTGGATACTTATAACTGGAATCTTTATTTGCTAATATACAAAGGAACCATAATGTAGAGTCTGTTTAAAGGGCTCCTGGGTGGCTCGGTCTGTTGAGTGTCCGACTTCAGCTCAGGTCATGAACTTGCGGTTCATGAATTCGAGCCCCGCGTCGGGCTCGCTGCTGTCAGTGCAGAGGCCACTTCAGATCCTCTGTTTCCCTCTCTCCACCCCTCCCCTGCTCAAGCTCTCTCCCTCTCTCAAAAATAAACATTAAAAAGAAGAAAAAATAAAAAGCAATGTTGTTAATTAAATAAGCAAACACACACCCTTGTTGAGTCAAAATGGTGTAACAGAAAATATAACAAATATTACAGATTTAAACATTGTTTCAAGTTGGAAAAATAATTTCAATGGTTTAAAAATCAGTGCTCTTTACAGTGAGTGTTGTATGTAAGCAATGAATCATGGGAATCTACCCCCAAAACCAAGAGCACACTGAGCACACTGTATGTTAGCCAATTTGACGATAAATTATATTTTAAAAAAATCAGTGCTCTTTATTGTTTGAAAGATTGAAAATGTATGTTAATTTGATGGTTTTTATCTCAATCAAACTGTTGTAAATTAATTTTAGTTTTCTGAATCAGGCTTCCTTCTTTCCTCCAACCCATCTTGTTCTTGGACATGAGCCAGTCTCCAGATAAAACATAATATCGTTCATTCATTAGAACTCATTCATCATCATACCTGAATTAAACCACTGAAGTTTTATTTGATTAAGCATTTTAAAGTGTATAATTAATTTTCTGAAATAATATGATTGGGAAAGGTGTAAATGCCTGACTCCAGTAAGTGAATGATCATAAATGAACTTACTATTTTATTGTCCTTTTATTACCCATATCTAATTCACACAAATGCCTGCCTAAGATAGTCTCTCCTTTTGGGGCACCTGGGTGGCTCAGTCGGTTAAGCGGCCGACTTCGGCTCAGGTCATGATATCTCAGTCCGTGAGTTCAAGCCCCGCGTCAGGCTCTGTGCTGACAGCTCAGAGCCTGGAGCCTGTTTCAGATTCTGTGTCTCCCTCTCTCTAACCCTCCCCCATTCATGCTCTGTCTCTCTCTGTCTCAAAAATAAGTAAACGTAAAAAAAAAAATTAAAAAAAAAGAGTCTCTCCTTTTTAGGAACTGCACTGTGTAACTTACTTTGCCACAACAGCGTTTATGTGAGTCCTCACAAGTCCCAGATATTGGTCAATCTGTGCCTACAAAGAAGAAGAAATCATGAGCACATCCAAAGGTCACAAGGTCAAAATTTAAGGTGACTATCTGACATCACACAGGACTTACCTGGTGCTTAACATACACTACAGGTAGAGTAAACATTGAAACCACAGCTGGGATGAAAAACAAATACAGTATTAAAATTCTGAGAGTTATCAGTGAGAATAAGCTTTTAGATACATCTTTATATAATTATGTAATCTTATAGCATTATTTTATGGTAGCTAGCATTCTAGCTAAAAGATGGCAGGACTGGGGGCACCTGGGTGGCTCAGCTGGTTAAATGTCCGACTTCGGCTCAGGTCATGATCTCATGGTTTGTGGGTTTGAGCCCCGTGTTGGGCTCTGTGCTGACAGCTCAGAGCCTGGATCCTGCTTCGGGTTCTGTGTCTCCCTCTCTCTGTCTTTCCCCCAGCACCCCTGGCTCTCTCTCTTAAAAAAATAAACATTAAAAAAAATTTAAAAAGATGGCAGGACAGTCCATAAGGAAAACAAAGGGATGTTGAGCCCTTTACAGATACTGAGCCATTATTCCCAGACTCATTCCAGGAATGAGGGATGGATTGTGCCTTCCCACAATGAAAATTCATTTCTATCCATAATTGCCTACTGCAAACAAATATATATTAGAAACCAAATAAAACCAGTTGTGATTCAAGAGAAAAAAATCCTTCAAACTAAGAGATTCATTATTAATGTATAATATACACTCTTAAATTGAACTATGATGGTCAGGGAAATGCCCTGTACTATGGTGTTGTTTCTAGGACTCTACCACAGCAAGCTCACAGCTAACAGCATAGGAAGCTTTATGCTCGTGGAGAGTGTGAAGGAAGACATAACATGCTCATCTGTCCTTACCCATGAGCAGCAGGGTCAGCCCGTTGAAAAGAGCGCCAACGTAAGTCAGGAGCCACATCAGGACTGCAAACTGAAGAATGGAATCTTTATCAGAGCTTCTAAAACCATTTGTGACAGATGAGCGTCTTATTTCATTGACTTTTTTTAGATTAAAAATGGAGGGAAAATACACCATTTCAATAAGAAATGTAAGCATTTAAAGTTCATCACAGAATTACTGAAAGAGAACCTAACCTTTACTTCTCTTAGAATCTTTTGGACATCTTTGTCAGAAGATTTGAAGGACTCCATGAAATAATAAGGGAGGGGTCAGCAAACTATCGCCCTTGGCCTGTTTTTTTATGGGCCCATGAGTTAAGAATAAATTTCATATTTTTAAATGGTTGAAGAAAACCAAAGCAAGAACAACATTTTGTGATATGTAGAAATGATATGAAATGCCAACTTTCGGTATTCATAAATAAAGTTTTATTGGCACACAGCCACAGCCATTCATTTATGCATCATGTATGGCCGCTTTCCTACTATGATGGCAAAGCTGAGTGGCTGTGACAGAGATTATGTGGCATGCAAAGCCCTTTACAGATAAGGTTTGATGACCTCTGCTCTAGCCTGTATTTTTACATTACAAATACAAGTAGAAACATCAACCTAAAAGCCCTTGGGTCAGTAATTATCATCTCCCTGGTATCTCTCTTCAGTCATTACTTGGAAAGAAGTATTATTCCAGGAGAGCATCTTCCAAGGCCACATCACTCACTTTTCCTTCTGCCCTTCCTCAAACAGTTGTTGGGCAGCCCCGGCGACAAGACCCCTGCCCAGTGTGCATACAAAGCACTCTGGGAGCACAGGGAACTCACAACAACCTCGCTCAGGCCCTGCTGAATCATGCCCCGTTGACTTCAGTCTTATACATACACCACAGGGTGGGCTGAGCAGCTTGTTCAAAGAAACCTAGTAAGTTCAGTGAGAGTGCCAGGAATCACACACAGGTGCCAAGGTCCTCCATGCTTCCGAGGCTCAGTCTCACAGCACACACCAGGTAAGGACACAGGGACATCTCACCATTAGGAGTCCACAGAGTTTCTTTCAATGAAAAAAGCATATATATATTTTTCACATTTCCAAAACTAGAATTTTTAAAGAACTAATTTTAGGAAATTGGCCAAGGGACTGAAAATGATAAGAAGAAACAACCTGGTGTGTTGTGAAAAGTATAGAATTAGAAGCCATGTGACCCTCGGTTTGATCCCAGCCAGTGACTCGCTGGGCAACCTCAGGCAAGTGACTTAGCCTCTCTGAACCACAGTTGTGGCATCTGTAAAATGAGAGGATTGGACTGGATGCACTCCATGGTACCACACAGCTGGAGGTTTTCTCACTCTAGAATGTAATTAGCACTTGCCTCTTATTCCCCATTATGTGGTGGTTTACGTTATACCATTAGGGAAAACAAAACTCAAGATTGTCAAGTGAATGGCTTAAGCAACCGTACTTTTAAGGAATCCACCAGGTCCTGGACAAGGAAGAGCCTCCTCAGTTCTTTAAGTGTGTTGTTCACATAGAACTGCAGACAGTCTGTGTACTTCTGGATCTGCTCCTGAGAAAGGGTGATCTCGAGCTCCAAGTAGGTCCTGTCAACAAACCATCCCCAGAGAGCTCCATCAGAGGTAACCATGAAACAGCTGAGTTTTCCTCCTCCCACTCTGAGGACAGCCAGGCCATCTCTGGGGGCTTTACGCCAGCCAGTGGGCTGCAGGGACCATACACACCCACTTCCAGTATACTGGAGAACCTGGGAATTATGGCCGTTAATGGTGTGCTGTGACTGTTTCTGTGTCCCCAAGACAGCATGACAGTGTGAGCTGATGATTCAGAGCAACTGGCTTGGACCAGGGAGAAGTCAGTCCAGAATCAGCTCATTCACTGAATTCTCCATAAATCCCTGGTCTGCCAGGTAAGTTGTGAAAGTCCTCATTTCTTCTTGGCTGCATGGAGATGGTTTATTTTTTTAAATAACAGAGGTATCTGAAAATCCTAGCTGCCAATCATTGCTCATCACCTCAACTTTAATATTTCGTGTTTGCATTTTGGAAAATACTCTCAGGTTTTATCTGGAGAGCTCTGAAAGCTCAAGAGACCTGGCCCCTATTCAAAAGCTCACTGTTTCTACTAAGAGCAATATTTTTAGTGACTGCATTTTTCATTTGTTCAAACGATGAAGTGTAACTATGGGCAGATAAACCAGGCTCCCCATGTAGTCCATCCTCCTGTTTGGCCATGTTCCCCCACCGAGGGCCCATCCTCTCTACCTCCTCCCCTCCTTCCGTTCTGTTTTAAGACACCACTATGTTATCTACCCAGAGGATATTTCTAGATATCTTATCTAGATAAGTGCTTATCTAATTCTGAGAATTGAGAGGGAAAAAATAAAGTAGCATTTGGTTTGAATTTAGAGAGCTTACAATGAAATCTTATGGCTTTCCTACTCTTTAGGAAAAAATACAGAAAAATACTGATTTGTCTAGTTAAGTTTTGATCCCAAAATGTGCTCCTAGTCAGGTATTCCTTTTACTGATAAAAACAACTCAACCACAGGGAAGTTTTGTTTTGTTTTTGTTTTTGTTTTAAATCTGTTTCCTAAAGGAAGAAAAATTAGTTGAACTAATTGAACATGACAGTCTTGTGGGGGGCCAAGAATGTGAAAGAAACTAGCCTTTCTTGGATGGCTGAGGGCAGAGGCTGAGGCAGAGCAGGACTCTGAAGATGTGAACTCTGGTCACAGGCTGGTAGGCATGGTATAACCCTGATGTGAAGACACTGCACTTCTACGCTTTCCCCCCTTTGGGACAGGAATTTGTAGAGACAAGTTATAGCCCAGAAGACCCATTAACTGCATTAGAAGAAAGCCCAATACATCCCAAGGGCAAGAGTGCTCAGACTGTAACTGACACCGAGGCCAGGAACCAGAGGCTGGGAAGGGAGGTTGGATGTGCAGCCTTTTCCCTTCTGTCCCCAAAACACAGGCATCTTTTCACCTTTCAAGGGCCCGGTGCCCTAAGGTCTTCATTCAGCTTACTGGTGTGGGTGAGCCAGGGAGGATTTACTGAGTCTGGCCCAGAAGCCATCTGCAGCAGCATCTACAAGGCTCATCCAGGACTCAGAACTGTCCCCTCCGTTACAGGAACTGAGGACACCTATAGTACAGCTTGCACTCCGGGGCCAACAGCAGGGGAGGGGGTGACTCTGACAGTCAGTGCTGAAATTCCCCGGGCTCACAAGCCAGAGTCAGGAGACAGATTGGGGTGGAGTTGGGTGAGCTGGCAGGACTATTGCCTCCCTCTGCCCTGTTTCATTCATCCTTAGTATATGGCCTTAAAAACAATTCCTCCTCTTTAATATTCATTCTAGTCAGATTTCCCTAGTATAAAAATGCAGAGGAGGGCACGTTATAAGACTATTCATGAACTTGTACCCCTCAGAAAGTTGGCCCTTTGGTATGAAGCTTCCAGAGACCATAGAAATAAAAATCCAAACACCCTAGCCCTGACTCTGTGCTATTTACTGGCCATATGACCTTGGGCAAGTCACTTTACGTCTTAGAGCCTCAGTTTTCCCACCTGTACATAGAGATTAATTACACTGCTCTGCCTTCTTCACAGGGTAGGGAGGATTAATTGTTGCTTACTCCTTAAATTCTAAAACATTGTGCACATATAATGGATTATGATCACTATTAGTAATAATTAAATATAAAATATGAAATATAAGTGTATGCTCTATAAATTTATATTAAATATGCAGCTTAATTCATTAGTAATAATTAAATATAAAAACTCAATACAGCAAGTAAGTGTTACAATGGGGATAACGGAGTTTGCCTTAGAAATTCACCAGAAATATTAGCTATTAGAAGCCAGGGCATTGGGGCGCCTGGGTGGCGCAGTCGGTTAAGCGTCCGACTTCAGCCAGGTCACGATCTCGCGGCCCGTGAGTTCGAGCCCCGCGTCAGGCTCTGGGCTGATGGCTCAGAGCCTGGAGCCTGTTTCTGATTCTGTGTCTCCCTCTCTCTCTGCCCCTCCCCCGTTCATGCTCTGTCTCTCTCTGTCCCAAAAATGGATAAAAATAAAGAAAGAAAGAAAGAAAGAAAGAAAGAAAGAAAGAAAGAAGCCAGGGCATTAAAGAGACTCGGAGACATCTGTCAGGTCCCAGAGACATATCACCCAAATGCCCAGGAGCTGAAACAGAGTCAGGGGGAAGGAGCTCCGTGAGAGACCGGGCCAGGACTGGCCCAGCTGGGGTACTCACTTGAAAGGGTGGCCCTCGTCGGTTTTCTGCACCGCTTGTAACACAGACTTGTAGATGCGGAAACTGATGGTGGCTGAGAGTGCGGCAAGAGCCAGGTAGGCCACGACACTCACAACGCTGAACTGGGTCAGGGAGAAGAGCAGTAGCAGGAAGCTCCCGAACACGATCCCAGTCTGCTTGATGTCCCGCCAGTAGAGCAGGTCAATAGCTGTGGGGAGGAGACCAAAGCCACACACACACTTAGCACTGGCAGAACTGCATCGGGACTCATTCCACGGAGCCGTGGTGGCCGCAGGTCCTCACCTCGACTCAGGATTCCCAAACACCAGCGAGCAGACACAGGGCTTTGGCCAGGGCACTGGCTGCCATTGTGTTTTGCTTTGGAAGACTCTTTCCCGTCCCTGAGGACAGTTTATAAATTGCAGGTAAGAAAAGGCTGGTGAGTCTCCAGCGACCATACCTCTATGAGTGCATCTTGCGGGGCCACACCGTCTGTGACTCTGAAACAAATCTCAAAGTACAGAGGACTCTGAAGTACCTGCTCCGCCTCTCTGGAAGGTACTGACTGCATGCATCTTGATACCCTGCTGACAAGGTTATGTCTTAATGGTGGCCTGGAGATGTGCACAGCAGTCATGTGACTGTTCCTGCTGCTCAGAAAGGGCAGGAACAATGAAAAGGGAGGTTTCAGAGAAGTGGTACCTTCAGAAGCATGGCGACAGGTCCAGAGACCCCAGCCAATGGCAAAGGTTTCTGAGTAAAGACACGGCCTGCCACCAAGGCCAGCAAAACTGAAAAGTTAGTAGCTATCTCAAGAATCCCTGAAGCTGACACTTGGATTAAACCATTTTGTACAACATAATTTATTCACTCCTATTATAGGATTTAAAAATATGGAATGCAGCTGTAAAAATCTAGATCACATCTCTCACTCAGTTATTTCCCTCTTTTGCTTACAAACAAAAAACTGAGTTCAAAAGAACAAAGCCAAAGTGCTTCAAATATGGTACAAAATGTAAATATTTTCCATATTCCGGTCACCAGATTTTGAAAAAACAAAGAAGCCTTGCTGGAGAATGCATGCAAATTTATTCTCCAATTAGGCAAGTTACAAACGTTTTTTTGAGTTGAGATACAATTGGGACGCCTGGGTGGCTCGGTCAGTTGAACATCCAACTTCAGCTCAGGTCCTGATCTTGAGGTTTGTGAGTACAAGCCCCACATCGGGCTCTGTGCTGACAGCTTAGAGGCTGGAGCCTGCTTCAGATTCTGTGTTTTCCTCTCTCTCTGCCCCTTCTCTGCTCAAGCTCTCTCTCTCTCTCTCTCTCTCTCTCTCAAAAATGAACATTAAGAAATTTTTTCTAAATAAATACATTGAGATATAATTGACAAATAACATGGCATAAGTTTAAGGTGTACAACATGTTGATTGGATACATTTAAACATTAAACTAACACCTCTATTGTGGCACATAATTATCATTTCTTTTGTGGTGAGAACATTTAGGATCTAGTCTCTCAGCAATTTTGACGTTTATAATACAGTATTGTTGGCTACAATCACTATGCTGTGCATTAGATCTCCAGAATTTATTTACCTTCTAGTTGTGAGTTTGTACCCACCAATCAACAACATCTCTCCAGTCCCCCGACCCCCTAACCCTGGTAACCACGATTCTACTGTTTCTACAAGTTAGGCTATTTTAGATTCCACATATAAATGAGATTAAATCATATTTGTCTTTCTCTGTCTGACGTATTTCACTTAGCATAATGGCCTCAAGGTCCATCCATGTTGTTGCAACAAATGGTTTTTATCGAATGTTACATGAATAAATTTTCAGAAAGAGAAAATGAGACACAAAATCCCCATCTCACACCCGAATGAAAATGGCAGTTGCTTCATGTGCGGTATACCCAAAGGCAGCTGGTTTACTAAAGGATTAGATATCAGTCATTTGCTCAGAGGAAAACGGAAGTGACCAGGTTGAAGACAGCAGGAGCTGCTCCCATCATACACAGGTATGCAGCTAGCTGAAGGACCAGTACTGAAAAGGTCACATAGCCTGTGGCAACTGTCTGACGTTCTAGAGGGGATATAAGGAGTGCTGCGGAGCAAAGTTTTAACCCTCCGCAACAGTTTTACCTCAGGCTGGCTGGAGAGGAAATCAAGGACTTAAGGGGTGGGGTGGGGGCTCTTTTATAACAGGCTGAGGATACCTCAGCAGTGTGAAGCTGGAGGAGAATTTACTTTTTTAAAACAGTTTATTTATTTTGATAGGGGTGGGGGGGGAGGGACAGAAAGAGAGGGAGAGAGAGAGAATCCCAAACAGGCTCCACATTGCAGAGCTCGATGTGGGGGCTCGATCTCATAAACCGTGAGATCATGACCTGAGCCAAAATCAAGAGTTGGATGCTTAACCGACTCAGCCACCCAGGCGCCCCGAGAGAACTTCCTTTTGAGCTGATCTGTCATCCTTCTCCACCGACTCCATATCCACCATGACCTGGTCCACCAATGACATTAACACACAAGATTAGAGTAGTCTGCCATTTTGTTGGGCAAACATTTGTTCTTACAACACTTTTGTGATGTAGGAAGTAGAGGAGAGAAATCACAAGCGTGTTTTGGTGTGAAACAAAAGATTTTTCTTCTCTTGAGTGGGGCTGGTTCTACAAGTAGGTTTCCAGGGGCAAAGGAAAAGCACTGCTGCTCTAAAGCCCCTCTCTTCTCCCAGGCCCAAGCACCAGTCACATGGACTGACATTCTAATATTAGAAATTCACTGCTTTAGGTTAATCCTTTTTATCTTTTTTTTTTTTTTTAAAGAAGGGGATAATACACTGAAGATGAGCTCACCATTAGCAACAAAATTCAAATGAGTTTACCGATTGTGTTTTGTTTTAGAAGAGTTTGTTGAGACAAGAGCACCAAAGTAATACTCCTTTTCAGACAGAGAAGAGGGACGGATCTTTTGGAAGACATGACAACAAGAAACCCCTGGGCTTCTGAGGGCAGGTGATAGAAGTGGGAGAAGGGATGTTCCCAGAAGCCTAGCGCCCCCCTGTTGCGGAAGGGATCTGGAGTAGCACATTGAGGGAAGTCCAGGCCAGCAGGGCTAAAGGTCCCTAGGGAACTGAAGCCTCCTAGCATTTATTCTGTTGGGGAGGTGGGGGGAGGGAAGGAGAACAAAAAGACTAAAACATCACCATTATCTGCAGGGTTGCCTCTTTTACGTTTTATTCATTTATTCAGTATTTATTGAGTAAGAACTTTATTTTAAGTGCCAGGCTTTGTGCTAAGTCCCAGGGATACAAAAATCAATGAATTGTTAAAAAAAAAAAAAAAAGAAAGAAAGAAAAGCCACCCACAAATAACTTGTAATCTTCTATTTCATGACACCCCTAGATTCACATGGCAGACACGTTTAGAAACAAATACATTATAAGACAGAATGATTTGTGCTAAAGGGGGCACTCCTTAGTACTAGAGAAGGTGGGTTTACCTACCTCTGAGATGATGTGAAGTGGCATGGGAGACCCTGCGAGAAACTTTCAGGCAAAGAAAATATAAAGTTTGGTATTATCAAGTGAACCCCCACTTGATAAGTCACTTAACACTTGTTAAAAACGGTGTACCCTTCTAGAAAAGCCTTCTCAGTCTCTGGATACTTGTTTAAATAGCCAAGAATGGCAGGCACCAGGTAAGGGCTTTATGTGAAGAAACTATGGGCAGAGAGTGTGAACTATCAACTAAATTAGTTTGGTGTAGTCATTACACAGCAGGTCTTTCCATCAACGTGTTAAGATTGTTGGAGATTTCTGGGGTATCTGGGTGGCTCAGTCGGTTGAGCGTCCGACTTTGGCTTAGGTCATGATCTCATGGTTCATGGGTTCGAGGCCCGTGTCGGGCTCTGTGCTGACAGCTCAGAGCCTGGAGCCTGCTTTGGATTCTGTATCTCCCTCTCTCTCTGCCTCTCCCCCTACTCTCTCTCTCAAAAAAATAAAAAATAAAAATAAAACAAACAAAAAGATTGCTAGAGGTTTCTAATTAGGAGGTTAGCAAAAGATTCATCTTACAACATCAATGGGATGTTTATTCTGAGTACTTTTCTGATATCAGCTATTTACGTAGATTCTGAAATGTTCAAAGCATCCTCTGATACTATCTCATTTACACCTCACAGTCAACTCTGCTGGATAGGTCTACGTATAACAGATAAAGAAGCTAAAAGTTAAGAAACTTGTGTACTGACTAGTTAATGAGTTCAAACCCTAAGTGTGATGCTTTTTCCAGAAGAAAACAGTTGCCTCTCTCGCATTATATGGTTATAGGTTAAACATTCCCCAAAGTATGCAAAATTAATTTGAGCAACCTGATTTATTTAAATCTGCTTCCAGAGCTAGATATTGAATGTGAAAAAAACTTTTAGGTGATAACATGTCATTATCAACAGTAAATAGTTATTGGCCATCTATTCATCTAGTGAAACCAAGAACGAAGAGATCATACAATTCCGTTCCTGCTTTTAAGGGACTTAAGATCTAGCTGGGAAGACTGGTGCTCATTTACAAAATGCTGAATCAGTACCAATACATTTTGTGCTGTTGGAAGTGGCAAAAGTTGAGTTCAAGGAAGGGACGGTGCTGGAATTGATGAAAGAGGACGTGGGATGGTTTGTGAATGTAGCGAACAATTTGTTAAGGAGATGGAGTGGATAAAGGGAAATATTATGAAGGATTAGTCAACAAGAAGGGTGACTAATTAGCCGTGGGAGAAAGGAGGAAGAGCTAATTAAGGGTGAAGGCAACATTTCAAAGCTGGGTGACTGAGTGATTAATATCACTGACAAAAACAGGAAATCGGAGTGGGAGCTGGTTTGGGATAAAGTGGACACTTGCTTTTAAACCTCCAGGTTCTAACACGATGACATCAAAAAAGGGCATTTTGACACAGTCTAGGGCAGAGATGGGATAGGGATCACAGGTGAGATGAAGCTGACAGTTACAATACTTCCTAAATTTCATAAAGCTTAAAAACCAAATGATTTGGGTTTTCTATAGGCTTTGTCACAGAAGCCCTGAGTTAAATGGTCAGTAATATCATATTCCAATGATATTGAGATGAATATGCACAGTAGGAAACTGGAAATGCAAGACTGAAATTTAGTAAGGAGGGCTGAATATGAGTAGAAAGCATGATTGAGGC